GAGTGCAAAATTTGATTGCCTGAACTCATTGATAAGTCAATTTCTATCATTGTTGATAAGAAATGAAACCCACTAAAAGTGTATTGTACTTTATTACACTTGACTGCAGGAAAGGCAATGTAACTCGAGAATTCTAATCAAAAGCAGCAGCCAAGTTGTGTAATCATTTGTGTAATCAATTGTGTTACCAAATTGCATAACCAAATTATGTTATGCTTTTGTTATTCTTGATGCCGTCCCCATATAGTAAGAAAACCACTCTGTTTGCCAGTATTATGCCCATGGTGCAGTAGGTGTATGGATCACTGTCAACTATATCATGTTTGGCAGTATTTTTGGACTCAGTGAGATTTAGCCTCTTGAATTTTCTCGATTCTCAATTTGTAAGTTTTTTCTCACTGTTTAGCAAGCTCATGTGAGAAAACCATGCAACATTTCTAAAGTAAGGATTAAGTGAGGTAAGTGTTTCTAAGTGTTGTTAAGTGTCCTTAAGTGTTCCTACGCAAAAGCCATGCAAGCACCCATCACTCTGTGAAACCCTTGCACCTTACTTTATAGATATTACATATGCTAGAAATGGTAGTTAATTTGTAGGAATGAGTGATCCTGCTTATATAAGCCAAAGAAGGTTACTACAAGGATAATTCAAATAATGTGATATCAAATAACATTGGACAGAAGAAGCATGAGTTCCTATAATAGATTGTATTTAGATCTAGTCTGAGATGTTGATGATCAGATGCAGACTGGACAACAATTTGATCTCAAAGGGTAGTAATTCCAGGGAGATGAGACTAATGATGTATGTATCCTAACTCTAAAGTTTCTAAATGTGCAGTACTTGGTCTATTTGTTTTATAAGGCTCCATGAGACAGATATTGTCAAAACCTATAGTTATAATAATCTGTGAAGTAGGCAAAAGTCTCAACTTGACAATACAGTTCTTGTTGCAGATGTGACCTGGAGGTACAAGGCCTTTGAGTCTACAGAATGGATTTGGGAAATCACTATATATCAGATGTTTCAATAATCTCCCACTCTGGACACTCACCAAGATGTTAAAGAGGGCATGGTACCCATGAAGCTGGTGGGCAAGTGCTTCAGTCAGGAAAGTGGGGTCATAGAAGTCAGTGCTTGGTTCTTATAATATATAAGTTGAGTACTCACTATATGGTTTCAGTTGAAGATCAATAGTGTCTTGGATATCACTGACATTGATGGTCAAACAGCCCTCCATTGAGGAGCTAGGACCATTGAGTTAGACAGAATAGGTAGCCAGAACATCAGGAGATCAATCAGCCTAAGTAGAAGATCCAACTGGCAGTGCTAATTTTTCAGGGGAAGGAGTAACATTAATTATTTGATCTGTGTTTATGTGTATATCTGTCTTGGATTTAGGGGCATTGACACAAGGTAGTTCTGGCCTCAGCTTGTGCGCTGTGTCTCTTTCCTGAGTCTTACTCCTTATTTCAGAGTACCAAAGTATCGTGTCTAGCAGGATGGATAAGTATTGTATCCAATCCATCAAGGCTTCCGGATATCGGACGAGTAGAGTAACAGCTAATCTGGACCAGGTCCAAACTAGAAACTAATGGATAAGGACTGTCCGAAGACAGAGGCGAAGATATAGACTATAGGAGTCAATCCTAAGTCTTGGAGTAGACAAGAGTAGAGTACTCAAGTCCAGATGGATTACAGAGGTTGAACAGAAGGACTTAGAGTCCAGACGGAATGAGTGCAATCTAAGATGATATTCGAACTGAAGTACTACAGCACATACACAAGAGTTTATATACTACAGATAACTAACAGAATGATCAGTAAGCAAAGGTGTGAGACTATGTACGAAGTATAAGCCAAGTGTAAGCAAAGTGTATTGGTAAGTTGGATGGATTACGAATCATGAATCAGAAATGAAGTATAAGTTTAATGGATCAGTAAGCATAGCAGAAGTAAGGATACCATCAGTTGAGGATTTAGGTGTTAGTATGTAGTATTATATTCCACAGCATGGGTATGTAGATGAGTACTTGACAATTGACATGCTGTTTGAGCATGTCGAACATCAACAATGAATTCTTATGAGCATTGACATAAATTAAATAACACTACATAAACTCGGTATCGTCACACTGACCGTGTCACTTGCACAAGTCAGTCCGAATTGAGTGATAACAGGTGAAATCAACAGAGGCAAACATAGCGCCACCTGCAAGTTTTGCCAGTCAGCTGGGTGTGTAAGTAGCCCCAAAAATTTCAGTAAATCGTCAGGGAAACAGAGCTTGGTTGTGTTTGGTCAGCTTGGTTGTATTTGGTCATATGCTGGGGGCTCTCTTACACACCTGCCGATGGGTAGGAGTCTGACTGAGACCATATACTTGATGACACACTTGAGGTGGGATAGCCCATTATGAAAAACAACAGTTCTAAGATGTGATGAAGGCATTTAACCTTGTATTTATGTATATGGATACAGACTTGAATAAAACTGAAAATGAATGCATTGGATGACACACATTGTAATGAAGCTGCTGGCCATTTTGCTTCTATTGTCAACAATATTGGTTTCCAGGTAGAACCTCAAGTTCTTGTGGCCAAACTGCAGACTAAAACAGGTAAACAAAGTTTGTTTGTAGAGATGAGTGATGAATGTTATGTAATACAGCTAAACAACAACATAATATCATAACATTGACACTGCAGTCACAACTTGTTCATTAATGTGTATTTCAATTGTTTGATATTAGATAATACTTGATACTGCACTGGAACCTCAATATGAGTGTTTGAACAATATATTTAATATGCAGAACCATACTAATGCATCTACAGTGTAATTACAATTCATACTTTCCACTGCAATCAAGCTTTGAACTCAATGTGTCAATAATATATTCAATGTTGTAGGATATATATATATATAAGGGGTTAAGTGGATTGTTAGTGCTAATGTCAATCAGGTAAAATCAATAACACTATGTAAGACAATAAGGTGATATGTTATAATCCCATCCAAGGCACTAACACAGACAATTAGAGAGTAAGGCAATCAATTGTTATAATTCCCAACCAAGGCACAAATTAAGCCAACAAGACAACAAGACAGTATGTATGTTATGTTATGATCTCAACCAAGGCATAGCTAATCAAGACATTGAGGGAATATATCATTGTACTCAATTCAGCCAGTGAGATATTAAAAATATATTCCTGTTTCATCTTTTGTCAAATGATTCTATAAGGATACTACTATTTTCCATTAGATTTTCCAAGATACTTTTTATGGTCAAATTTTAATGTATCATGGAGCTACATCTAATTTCTAATTGAAAAGCATCCAATCTTTAAAAAAGGTAATTTGAATAAGGTCTGCTTAATAATCAATAAGTGAGAGATGATGCTTCAAGCTCAGGAGTTAGAGATCATAATCCTCAACTTAGATTTTGAATTTAGGCTTTCTGTTCATTAATAAAAGGGTTATGAAAAATGGGCCTGCAGATACTGCATTCTCCTGGGTGTCAACCATATAGGTATAATATCTTTCACATTACTATACAACATTTTGATGTTGACCTTGACATTGAGCTTGTCTTTGATGTTTTCATATTGACTTTGATCTTGGAGCTCGACCCTCTGCAAGTGCCAGCAGAAATGTGACAACACCACCATGTCACCACCCATGTTCCCTACATCCACCCAATGCCAAACCCCGACCTGAACACCGCTGAGAGTTCAACTCCAGGATGCATGGAGAAGTCCTGGCACGATGGGGAGAAAAAGTGTTGATGTCCTCACCCAGTCCATGTGGTGACCTGGATCAGAGGCCATCATGCTGTGAGGACACACCTCTTGGAGGTGAGTCCGAGCATTCAAGCTTCAAGCCTGATGGTTTTGTTCATTTGTGAAGTTCCAGATCAAGTTTTTCCCCTCCCTACAAAACTTGGTCTGGCCATTCTGCTCCAAAATTTAGTAATGGACAACTTGAGCCTCCTGCTCAATGTCAATCTCAGTGGGCTCAGGATAACATTATCAAGTTTCCCATTTTCAAGCCTTGGGGCCACTCTGTATACATTCTTTCACGACTACATAACTTTATAACACTCCCCACAATTTCCATTGCCAGCTCCTCGCTTTCGTTCAACAATATATCACCAGTGAATCCCATCTTGAAACTTGTAGATGTGAGTGAGACAGGTCAAATGTACGCGAAATCCTACATGCATCAGAGTCTCAACTCATCTGCAAACTCATTATCGAATACAATGGCTGAGTCTCTGGATGCACTCAGAGGCAGCTCACTTCAAGAACGTCTCTCAGTAAGTTGAGGAGATCCCGTGTTTTGAAGTGCGATATGATGAGCTGATCCTTCAGAAGGACCATGGAAAACACAAAGCTGCCTGCATGTATCGCTCGATGCAGTGCAACGGGTGTGGTATGACAATTACATCAAGTATTGCGATCTCAGCATATGTGTATCCTATGATGACTCATCCTCAGTCTTCTGACCAAGTGTTGGCAGATTTACATCCCATAGTGTTCTTCCAAGCCTGCGACCTGCAATTTCCCCTTCAAACAATCCCAAGGTCACAATCACATTCCCAAGCATACACTGTGTAATATCCAGACCACTGAAATTCCATACATGTGCCTTATCAATTGCTATTGTTTATTTTGTCCCTGGTGTCAACTCTTTCCCGCCCATACGTCAACATCAAGAGATTTATTTACCAGCAGCGCTGAATGCTGTCGTCGTGATGCCGCTCTCGTGCAGGACATGCAGTACTCAATTTCTGTCATCCAGACAATGTGAATAGACATTCAAATCAACAGTGCCCACGGCCCACAGTACCGATAACATATTCAAACCTCCTCCATTGCTTCATTATCAAACTCAAATAAATGCTCTCAATGAACTCCTCTTGGCCCCGTGAGTTGCAACAAAATTGTCGTGCTTTACCCTATTCCTCCTCTCACCTGCGATGGGACCACAGATCCATACATGTCTCAAAGGACGTTAATGGGTGTTGTGCCACTAGATTTTGGCACCTCCCTCATCGGCTCAGGCGATCCCGTAGCCATATTATCTCCACCAGTCGACTCCTTAGCACGGTGAGATACTATCGCACTCACGAATGAGAGTACATGTTCAATGAGGAACTCAACTCTGAAATACACCATTTATGGCACACAACTGCAAGGGTGTTCTTATATCATTGAGGTATGAGCTGCAACAGTCATTGTCACAGGACGCACCTCAAGGAGCCAGGCAAAGTTATATTGTTATACTCCCGCTATTCCGTGTTTTGTCATGTGGTATCTTCTGATAGTGTTCTTGGCTACAGCTGCCCATCTGATGGATATGAAGCATAGGCTATGTGGCGAGATTAAATGCCAAACAAATGAGTGGAACTAACCAAAATTCTGTATGTGTGTGACGGCCTTCTGTGAAGCACACTATATCTGTGAAGTGATTCAAGAGACTGGGTTGCTTGCCACACTAGGATGGTACGTCTCTTACTTCAATCTTTGCTCTCATTGCTGTGATCCAACCCAATCTACCGCACACAGGACATTAAACCTTCGCTTGCAGATGCTGAGAGTGTGCGCCAGACCATCATGGAGGAAATACCTCCCAGAAACAAACGACATATGTTGTACGTTCAGCTGTTTCAAGTAGTATACCTGCACATTCACTTTGAGGTTGTTCTTACAGCCAAAGTCAGCAGATAATGACTGTGAGGTGATTTCTGTCAAGTTGGTGAGCACCTGCTGTGATACAGAGGGCGCGGATAGTTCCAGTTGAGTCTGGGTCTTGCCGACTCTAATGGACGTATGAAATGCAGTCATCCGCACCCAAAATCACATCATCCATAAAATGCAGAAAACAAACAATGAACCATTTGTAGCATCCATTCTCAAGCACTTTCAGTGCTCCTTTAACCACTCAAGCTTGATGGTTGGGTTTAATAACTATGGTTTGGTCCACTTCTCCATTGCACCTGTGTTGGCCACATTGGTAGTTGTAAATCCAAGTGAAATAAACGCAGGGATGCAGAAGCGAGTGGCACCAAGTACTGAAAATGAGTGGTGGCAGGGACAAACGAGCAGGGACAAGTATAGACACACCAGATCAGGTACAAATATGTAAGAGAAATGCTTGTCAGCATGTACACACATTGAAAAAAACGCACCTATAAGGGCAAGTGCAGACAACCAACTGAAACAAATCTGGAGTAAAAATGAACATTGCCACATTAGGAACTGAGTGCAACAGACATAGATGAGGGTGATGGAGGTTAAATAGACAAAATCCGTCAAAAAAGAGGTGCCGTGGCACCCTCAGGTTCATCGATGATCATAGTACCAACCACGAGTGAGATGAATGAATGGCACCAGTATCATATGCATGCTCAATGCAGCAAACTTCTTTGGCCAAGCCCGTCCGCCTCAGAATCCAGAAAACCGAAGTCTGAAATTTCAATCTGAAGGAACGAGAAGACAAATCTCACCACACATCAGCCTTTGGTGCTGCAGTTCAAAACACCAAGTACCGAGTGAGCTCATCATGTGAAGTTGTTCAATGCTTCCAGCTTTTGATAAATGCATCATATACGCAGATGGCAGCGACAAAGCAAGTGTATAGTAAGTTAGTGTAAATACACATCACGTTGCGGCAGTAACCGCAGCAGTTGCAGCATTTTCACGATGCCCACATCCAAGCTAATCGCATCAGCAGAGACTCGATGGTTAGGTGGCCCACTACGGCCTTGCAAGGTTGTGGGAGTCTCACAGGCGCCTGTTTCCAAATACTGCACTTGTGAAAAGCGAGAGGTCAGCGAGAGGTTGTGAGAGTTGCAGTGAGGTGCTTGCAGGTCACCCGGACATCTGCAGCAGTCTGCAAGCAAGGAATGCACTGAGTGTGACATGAATTCACAGGTATACCTAGGTATACTTGTAATACTAGAATAAACATCAATTGGACTTCCAAATAAATCGCGGCAAATCAGCAAATTGAACTGTAACCTATCATCCACCATATAGTAGAAAGTTGTGCATTATTTGAAACAAATGGAATATTGATTCAACAAGATATGATCCATTGTGACTGTCAATAACAGATATGCGCCTATTAAGGCGAGGCACGTGCAAACCCATCCAGGAAATGATGTCAGAGCAACAGCTCAAAGTCCTAACAAGGAACTGCGACACTGTGGACATGTTGGGATGATAACAACAACAACAATTAATTAATCCAACGTGTTACTGCCAACAACAGATGTACGCCTATGAAGGCATGAAACACATGAATATGATGTGAGAGCAACAGCTCAAAGGCTGGGCCAACAAGATGACAGCAACAGAATGATAAGACAAAAACTGATCCAACATGCAACTGTCAACTGACAGATATATGCCTATGAAGGCATGAAACATGAAGAACACTATGCCAGAGCAATAGCCCAAAGCCCCAAGAAGGAGCTACAATGATGTGAACTGTTAAGTTGGGACAACAGCAACAGGGTGAGACAAGAATGAAATGAACAGCCAGATGAACAAACGCAATGTGAACCATCATGTGACATTCCAACGACATTCTGGCGACACTTTATTAATATTTTGTAATTACTCTGCTATTTTGTTTCACGACAGACTCCGTGCCACACCCGCTCGATGATACCCTCCAAGCCTTGGTTGTGGAGTCAAGCCACGCAGGAAAACCACAGGACCCGAAAGAGATACACTTCAGTGCAGTGCAACACGTCGTCATTACCGGTATGTGATATTCCCTCAAGCCATATTCATGTGACTGATCTCACTCTCGGTCTCCGACATGTCCCAGCTGGCTTCCATGTGGTGATACAGACTGATGGTGCTGAATGCCAGACGAGCAACAAACCTGTACATGTAGATCAGGCTGTTGTCAAATGGACCGAGCCCATACTTCTGTATGTTGTCCCTAATCTCATCTTTCCTGCACGTATTGAGAAGGACTCTAGGCCATGCAATGCATCTTCTAAAGTCCGAGTCAGCGCATATGCCTCATTTGAATTGGGTCCCATGCTCAGTCACAGAGAAGTCCTCTTGCACATTCAAGATCTCCGTCTGAAATTGCTGGATCGCAGTGGAAAAGTCATATCGTTAGCAACATCTTTTGCGAGTAACATCTGACAGATGTTAATGAGTATCATAGTCATACTCTTTCAGCCAAGGCAGGGGGAAGTTGTATCCATGTATCTCACTATTCATGACACTGGAGCAGCGGACTTTCTGATGAAAACAACGCCGCAGTTCTTTGCCCCATGACTACTGTGAGTGGACCAATGCAGTCTAGCATTCTGATCCTGAGAGCTTGCAATGTGTAGCTTACATCCCATGATATATATGTGTTAGTACTAAAGATGGATGCCGGACATCGTCTTCTTGTGCGATACCGCTGTGAGAAACACAACCTGACTAGGCACTTGTTTAAGGTGCTCAGTCAGTATATGTCTAATGCTCTGCCTATGCTGCTATACTTGCAAACAATAAAGCAAGAATGTTTGACCTGAGGGAAATACTACTAGACAACTTAAGATAGAAACACCTGAAAGTGCATCGCAAGATACAGCGCTAGTGCGCAGGAAAGTATGTCGCAACTATAGCGCGCTATGGCACGAGAAAGCGGGAAGTGCGGTCGCTAGATGGTCGCTAGATGGTCACTAATGCGTTGGTATGGAGCGCTAGTGCGCGGGAAAAGCAGAAGTCAAGCAAACAGATAGAGTCAAAGGAAGGTGCTGGATAGCGAGTGAGGTCAAGGGTATCGATTGCAAGGGTAAGGAAAGTCAAGGTAAACCAATAGGCGCTATAGAGTGAACTAAAGCTGACTACTTCTAAGTGAAACCTAAGGAGAAAAAATACTTCTTATACTAGTAAACTATACCATCTCGACTTGGAAGGATAGGAATACATGTAATAAGACTGTCACTTTTCACAAACTCGAGGCAAGGCAAATTACATACCAATGAGGTAGGATGGACCATGGATGGATTCCGATGTTTCAGGTGGATCCTAGAGCGTGAGAACAGTGCGCTGGATAAGCGCTACGGGAATGTGCGCGCATAGTGCGGGAAAGTGCGGAATAGCATCGACAAGGTTATGGCTGAGACAATGAAGGCTGCTGATAGGGGAGTAGTGAATAATATG